ACACGACCGCTGGGCCCCCATCTACACCCCGGTTATTATTGCCAGCTAGCTCCCCCACAATTGAGCTCCTTGTTTGAAAGGGGGTCCTATGTGTGAATTCATTTCTGGCCTTTCTCAACTGCAGTGCTTACTTAATTATAACACCCAGTGGGGTAGGAGATGATTGAAGGGCGTTTGCTGTCGTCTGCAAGTACGGCGTAGAAAAGCTATAGTGGGCCGTGGAAAAAAAAAAAACATATGAGCTGGGGTAAGGTCAGAGTTCGACTGCTTTGTTATCCCGGATGGTTGAACAAAAGATAGTCCAGGGGTTCGGGAACGAGGCGTATTTGTTCAAATCCCTGTGGGAGACCGGTGGAATGCGTGCCTTGTTCGTGCAATTCAGTCTGGTATTGTCTACAGTTGTTGAAATAGGGTGGATGGGCACGTTCCCCCTTTAAACACATGCACATGCATATATGTGATATAATGGATGAGTGCAAAAGTAGGCAGTGAGATTGATATGAACTGGTAAGGCTGGGTCGAAAAGGAGTGGGGGGGGGGGAAGGGGGGGGGGGGGTCATGATCACGGACCAAAACTGACTTGGTTCCTAGATGACATAAAGGAGAGCAGTGCTAATGATGTTACATAGCACACATACTTTTAACAGAAATGAGTTAACTGTGGTTTAATGGTATACCCCTTCTTAATGTGTTTGTGTGCACACACGAAGGTAGTCAGTCAGTGGTGTACCCACATATGATCCCATACCCAGCCCAGTAAGACAACACAATAAAATCGTATATTACACCGCTAGGTTTCTGAGGTTTACTTAGATTTTCCATAATCGAGTCACGCGCGTGAGTGTAAACTGGAATAATAATTAAAGCAAGCATTAATTCAACAGTTCAGTTGATATCACGCTGAACAACAACAGCCTTGAAAAAGTCAACAGTTTCACTTATCTAGGGAGCAAGATGTCATCTACAGGAGATACCGCACCAGAAATATCATTTAGAATAGCACTGGCATCTAGTGCCTTCAATAAACTGTCTAACATCTGGAAATCAAAGACACTTAGCAAACACACAAAACTCAAGATCTTCAATTCTTGTGTGATTCCAGTACTAACCTATGGTTGCGAGAGCTGGAAATCAACGAAAACTCTAGACACAAAATTAGACAGTTTTGAAAATAAATGCCTTAGAAGAATACTAAATTTCAAATGGTCAGATTTCCGAACCAATACACAAATAAGGCAAGAATCCAGGCAAGAGTATGTGTCTAATTTTATACGAAAACGCCGCTGGAACTATGTCGGCCACGCCCTTAGAATGGATAAATCAAGACTTCCTTACCAAGCCCTCATTTGGACACCACAGGGGAAAAGATCTCGTGGAAGACCAAGGGAAACCCTACGTAGAACTATCATCAGGGAAGGCTCGCTCATGGGCCACTCAAACATCCAAGACCTACAACGGATTGCAACGGACCGCCGTGCATGGAGAGTCGCGACCTCTGCCCTATGTGCCGCACTCGACACAAGAGGAAAGACTAACTAACTAACTAATTAATTAAACAGACTTGTCCGTAAAAATCTAGAGATGGTTATGGTAAGTCCCGTACCCCTACTGCGAGATGTGATTCTTCTTTTCCCGCAGTTACTTCATCCAGTTCTGAAGATATGCTTTTTCCAGGTCAGGTTGGTCTTCATTTGACTGTCTTGATCGGTGTTATGAAGTCAACAACCACACACCAAGTGTTACTGTATGCTATTGTGTGAGTCCACCCTTTTAGGGAAAGAAACCTTCCTAACAAAGTCTGTTGGTCTGTTCCCCAAGAGCTGATACAGACGTTATTGCTGATTGTCAGTCGCTATGGCTGTGGTAGTCACACTGTCGTGTGGTTTAATAAAATTATGTAGGTAATTTCATAGAGGCATGATTGCTGAAGTCATTAATAATTGTATAGTGGCACGAATTCTGCAGTTATTGGTAATTTCATAGTGGCACGAATTCTGCAGTCATTGGTAATTTCATAGTGGCACAAATTCTGCAATCATTGGTAATTTCATAGAGGTATCATTTCTGCAGTCATTGGTAATTTAATAGTGGTACGATTTTTGCAGTCATTAGTAATTCTATAGTGGCACGATTTTTGCAGTCATTTGTAATTTTATAGTGGCACGGTTTCTGCAGTCATAAGTAATTTCATAGTGACACGATTTTTGCAGTCATTGGTAATTTCATAGTGACACGATTTTTGCAGTCATTGGTAATTTTATAGTGGCGCGATTTCTGCAGTAATTGGTAATTTCATAGTGGCACGATTTCTGCAGTCATTGAAAATTTCATAGAGATATATTTTCTGCAGTCATTGGTGATTTCATAGTGGCACGATTTTTGCAGTCATTGGTAATTTCACAGTGGCACGATTTTTGCAGTCGTTGATAATTTTATAGTGGCACGATTTTTGCAGTCGTTGGTAATTTTATAGTGGCACGATTTCTGCAGTCATTGGTAATTTCATAGTTGCACGATTTCAGCAGTCATTGGTAATTTCATAGTGGCACGATTTCTGCAGTCGTTGGTAATTTCATAGAGGTATCATTGCTGCAGTCATTGGTAATTTCATAGTGGCACGATTTCTGCAGTCATTGGTAATTTCATAGTGGCACGATTTCTGCAGTCATTGGTAATTTCATAGTGGCACGATTTCTGCAGTCATTGATAATTTCATAGAGATATAATTTCTGCAGTCATTGGTAATTTCATAGTGGCAAGATTTTTGCAGTAATTGGTAATTTCATAGTGGCACGATTTCTGCAGTCGTTAGTAATTTCATAGTTGCACGATTTCTGCAGTCGTTGGTAATTTCATAGTGGCACGATTTCTGCAGTCATTGGTAATTTCATAGTTGCACGATTTCTGCAGTCATTTGTAATTTCTTAGAGGTATTATTGCTGCAGTCAGTATCTTGGTATGTTGCTGCACTTTTTGGAGATAGCTCGGAGAATCGAAGCCGGCAAGTTCTCACGGTTATTCACAGGTAGTTTATTTGCTGTGTTATGCGTGTCAGGTTAAGGAATGTTTTACGTTAGTGCCGAAAGGGGTACCTGCATTTTTAGGCTGACCAGACGTCCCGATTTTCGGCATTTTCCGGCCGTCAAGTCGGTACCACGCATAACAACCCTTGAATGTTGGCCTTTCCCGGGAACGCCGGGATTTTCTATGTTTGGGGTGAATTAAAAATAAAGTTCATAGTTACATCAAGGGATATGGTTAGATTTTATAGTTTTAAATACATTCAACGTTTGGAACTTGTTAAGAATTTTTCTTGTAGCATGTTAAAAAAAAAATACAATGTAGTTGAGAATGATGTTTGTTTAGTTTGGCTAGGGTTTTAATTGTATAATTGCCGATCCAGTAAGTAACCCTTTTACCTGGTGACCTAAAGAAAAAAAAAAGGGGTGGGGGAGGGGGGATGAAGTTTATCTGACTTGCTTGGTTTTCAACTCAAGACACCGTGCTCAGCATAGCTATTAATAGACTAATGTTTTACAAACCAGTCTGCACTCGATTGGGGATTTGGTCAGGATCACGCTGTCCGCCTTTACCTGGTACACGTTTGAGGTTGGGTCGACATGAGAACCATGGTTAGTTTTTTAAATGCTGGGTACGGATTGGAATCTAAGACCACCGGCCAACAGGCGAGTATCTGACCACCACGTCATCGCGGTTCCCCATGGAGATGCAATCAGAGAACAGTCGCACCTCAATCAAGAAGGTTTAAATTAACCAACTCTATCCCAAGTCAGTGCTCACACTCTTGTATAAATTACAGAGATAAGACAGTGCTCACAGTCTCTTGTGTAAACTACCCGACCCAGCCGGCGAGTCCACGAATACGTCTCCTGGAAATCGTTAGCATTAAATTACTTTAAGCATATTCACAATAGGTTTTGTTTTCCTAACTACTAGTTTGTATGAGAGGGCCGGCTACCTCGCCCCAGTACTTGCCAACATTTCAACGGGTGCATCTGTCTCACATCTACCCGTCTTGCTTTAGTTGTGGCAAATCTTTCTTAAAATGAAAATAAAACCTTCCTGCCGGGACACAGTTAACAGGCTGCATGCTAAATTTTAACAACTGACAGTGAACGGTGACTGAGTTTCAGATGTTAACAGTTGGACAAGACTTCTGGTAACGGACTGTAGTCAGTCAAGTAGACAAGACGGAGAGGACATGAGATGAGATCTTAATATCTAAGAATAGGACCACTTGGCTTGCGTCGGGGAACAGGGTGGGGAGGAATGAGTCCAAGTAAACCATGCAGAGTATTTCTCTACCACGATGTATGTATCAACTGCCATTATTAACCTCTTTTGCCGGTTGAAAAATAAGAGGGGGGGGGGGGGGGTGGTAGTCTGCGTGGTCTCAAATCATAGCGTCCGCCTCGAGTGCTGGAGGTCCTGGGTTCAAGCCCCGTAGAAGGCTGGGATTTTTTCCCTCATGTGGACTTTTAGTAATTTCCCCTGGTCTCTGGATAGTAAGCCGTGCGTATTGCTGCGCACGTAAAAAAAAAAATAATCATTTGGCAGCTGAAAAAAAGCCCGGGCAAAATTTAAACATCTACCAAAAGTATTTCAGAATCCACGCCTTTGGTACGGAATTCGTGCACTGCGCTGAGATTCTTCGGACTCGGGCTTGAGTTAGAAGTAGAACGGATCACTTATGAGTTGCCCATTGTGCCATGATGTTGATCCGTCGTTCTAAACCTAAACCTAGTTTCAAGGCACCATGACTAGTGTTGTTGACACGACAGTGTAGTTTAGGACTATTTTTGCCCCGAAAAAAAAACACACACACACACACACAAACAATCCTACAACTTTACCAAGGATTCGAACCCAGGTCTCCTGCAGCCCCGCGTTCTTAACCGTTCGGCCGGCCACTGCTCATCCATCATATGTATGAACGAGTGTATTTAATGTTTGATTTTGATTTTTGTGTCATGTTTCAGGCCGGCAAGTTCAGCATGGTGCAGCCCCATTATCCCGGCCTGGTCATGTACAATGCTCAACCGCCACCGGCACATAAGGGCTTCTCTTCCGTCTACCACGACCCAAAGACAGGTCAGTGTCCGTCAGCACCATGTCTCTAGTCTGTGTGGTTTATACCAGAGTGTCTGTCAGCACCATGTCTCTAGTCTCTGTGTAGTTTGTACAAGAGTGTCTGTCAGCACCATGTCTCTAGTATCTGAGTGGTTTATACAAGTGTCTGTCAGCACCATGTCTCTAGTCTCTGTGTGGTTTATACAAGAGTGTCTGTCAGCACCATGTCTCTAGTCTCTGTGTGGTTTATACAAGAGTGTCTGTCAGCACCGTGTCTCTAGTCTCTGTGTGGTTTATACAAGAGTGTCTGTCAGCACCATGTCTCTAGTCTGTGTGGTTTATACAAGAGTGTCTGTCAGCACCATGTCTCTAGTCTCTGTGTGGTTTATACAATAGTGTCTGTCAGCACCACGTCTCTAGTCTCTGTGTAGTTTATACAAGAGTGTCTGTCAGCACCATGTCTCTAGTCTCTGTGTAGTTTATACAAGAGTGTCTGTCAGCACCATGTCTCTAGTCTCTGTGTGGTTTATACAAGTGTCTGTCAGCACCATGTCTCTAGTCTCTGTGTGGTTTATACAAGAGTGTCTGTCAGCACCATGTCTCTAGTCTCTGTGTAGTTTATACAAGAGTGTCTGTCAGCACCATGTCTCTAGTCTCTGTGTAGTTTATACAAAAAAGTGTCTGTCAGCACCATGTCTCTAGTCTCTGTGTAGTTTATACAAGAGTGTCTGTCAGCACAATGTCTCTAGTCTCTGTGTAGTTTATACAAGTGTCTGTCAGCACCATGTCTCTAGTCTCTGTGTAGTTTATACAAAAGAGTGTCTGTCAGCACCATGTCTCTAGTCTCTGTGTGGTTTATTCAAGTGTCTGTCAGCACCATGTCTCTAGTCTCTGTGTGGTTTATACAAGAGTGTCTGTCAGCACCATGTCTCTAGTCTCTGTGTGGTTTGTTCAAGAGTGTCTGTCAGCACCATGTCTCTAGTCTCTGTGTGGTTTATACAAGAACGAACGAACGAACTTTATTTTCAAAGGGTTACAAATTAGGCACGCAGGCCTGTCCTACATTCGGCCCTTCCAAACTTCCAATGCAGGTAATAATGGCTTTAGAAAACCGTCGGTCTTGTGAATCTCCTCGATCTGATCAGCGCGATATTATGAAGCAAACTAAATATTCTGTCACCATTCACTAAAGGTTTTACCCCCTGCGGGTTCCGGAGCCCCGTATTGAGGAACAGTCAGACCCACTGTCCCCTAGCAAAAATGATGTTGGGACACAAGGCGCAGATAAAGCAGCCTAGCTGTAAACCGGAACATAGCAACTGTTATTTTAAAGACCATTGCAGAAGTAGACAAATGTTTCACTCTACCTACATCTCTCTCCTCATTCCCATCTCTCTCTCTCTCTCTCTCTCTCTCTCTCTCTCTCTCTCTCTCTCTCTCATTCTCTCTCTCTCTCTCTCTGTTTGGAAGGACTCAGTATAAAGCAGACTTGCGTGCCTTGGTGGCCGTATAGAAATACCCCCCCCCTCCCCCAACCCCATTATAAGGCAAAACAAAATAAGTACGTCTAAATTCATTGTGAATATTTTTTTATTTCTGCCACCCCCCCCCCCCCCCCCCCCCCCCCTCCCCCCCCCAGTTTTTTCAACACACGCGCGCCCCTTTTTCAAACACACGCGCGCGCGAATGTCACCCACAGTTATGGCAGCAAGACCCTTGCATCTCAGTTGTGAAACTTTAGCCGCCGTGCTAATTACCAGCGAGATATTGGCAAACGTGGCGTCTGTGGAGCAGTGACTTGTATGTCTGGCTGTCTGTGGAGCAGTGACTTGTATGTCTGGCTGTCTGTGGAGCAGTGACTTGTATGTCTGGCTGTCTGTGGAGCAGTGACTGGTATGTCTGGCTGTCTGTGGAGCAGTGACTGGTATGTCTGGCTGTCTGTGGAGCAGTGACTGGTATGTCTGGCTGTCTGTGGAGCAGTGACTTGTATGTCTGGCTGTCTGTGGAGCAGTGACTTGTATGTCTGGCTGTCTGTGGAGCAGTGACTTGTATGTCTGGCTGTCTGTGGAGCAGTGACTGATATGTCTGGCTGTCTGTGGAGCAGTGACTTGTATGTCTGGCTGTCTGTGGAGCAGTGACTTGTATGTCTGGCTGTCTGTGGAGCAGGGACTAGTATGTCTGGCTGTCTGTGGAGCAGTGACTTATGTGTCTGGCTGTCTGTGGAGCAGTGACTGGTATGTCTGGCTGTCTGTGGAGCAGTGGCTTGTATGTCTGGTTGTCTGTGGAGCAGTGACTTGTGTGTCTGGCTGTCTGTGGAGCAGTGACTGGTATGTCTGGCTGTCTGTGGAGCAGTGACTGGTATATCTGGCTGTCTGTGGAGCAGTGACTTGTATGTCTGGCTGTCTGAGGAGCAGTGGCTTGTATGTCTGGCTGTCTGTGGAGCAGTGGCTTGTATGTCTGGCTGTCTGTGGAGCAGTGGCTTGTATGTTTGGCTGTCTGTGGAGCAGTGACTTGTGTGTCTGGCTGGGAGCAGTGACTTGTGTGTCTGGCTGTCTGTGGAGCAGTGACTTGTGTGTCTGGCTGTCTGTGGAGCAGTGACTTGTATGTCTGGCTGTCTGTGGAGCAGTGACTTGTATGTCTGGCTGTCTGTGGAGCAGTGACTTGTATGTCTGGCTGTCTGTGGAGCAGTCTGTGACTTGGTATGTCTGGCTGTCTGTGGAGCAGTGGCTGTTGTATGTCTGGCTGTCTGTGGAGCAGTGGCTTGTATGTCTGGCTGTCTGTGGCAGTGACTTGATGTCTGGCTGTCTGTGTGGAGTGCTTGTATGTCTGGCTGTCTGTGGAGCAGTGGCTGGATATGTCTGGCTGTCTGTGGAGCAGTGTCTGGTGTCTGAGCAGTGACTTGTATGTCTGGCTGTCTGTGGAGCAGTGGCTTGTATGTCTGGCTGTCTGTGGAGCAGTGGCTTGTATGTCTGGCTGTCTGTGGAGCAGTGCTTGTATGTCTGGCTGTCTGTGGAGCAGTGGCTTGTATGTCTGGCTGTCTGTGGAGCAGTGGCTTGTATGTCTGGCTGTCTGTGGAGCAGTGACTGGTATGTCTGGCTGTCTGTCTGGTATGTCTGGCTGTCATGTCTGTGGAGCAGTGACTTGTATGTCTGGCTGTCTGTGGAGCAGTGACTTGTATGTCTGGCTGTCTGTGGAGCAGTGGCTTGTATGTCTGGCTGTCTGTGGAGCAGTGGCTTGTATGTCTGGCTGTCTGTGGAGCAGTGGCTTGTATGTCTGGCTGTCTGTGGAGCAGTGACTTGTATGTCTGGCTGTCTGTGGAGCAGTGACTTGTATGTCTGGCTGTCTGTGGAGCAGTGACTGGTATGTCTGGCTGTCTGTGGAGCAGTGACTTGTATGTCTGGCTGTCTGTGGAGCAGTGACTTGTATGTCTGGCTCTCGTGGAGCAGGACTGTATGTCTGGCTGTCTGTGGAGCAGTGGTCTTAGCTGTATGTCTGGCTGTCTGTGGAGCAGTGTGACTTGTGTGTCTGGCTGTCTGTGGAGCAGCAGGACTTGTATGTCTGGCTGTCTGTGGAGCAGTGACTTGTATGTCTGGCTGTCTGTGGAGCAGTGACTGTATGTCTATGTCTGTGGAGCAGGCTTGTCTGTGGAGTCTGTGGGAGCAGGGCTTGTATGTCTGGCTGTCTGTGGAGCAGTGGCTTGTATGTCTGGCTGTCTGTGAGCTGGTTGTGTGTCTGGCTGTCTGTGGAGCAGTGACTTGTATGTCTGGCTGTCTGTGGAGCAGTGAACTTGTTGTGTCTGGACTGTCTGTGGAGCAGTGACTTGTATGTCTGGCTGTCTGTGGAGCAGTGACTTGTATGTCTGGCTGTCTGTGGAGCAGTGAGCTTGTATGTCCTGGCTGTCTGTGGAGCAGTGACTTGTATGTCTGGCTGTCTGTGGAGCAGTGGCTTGTGTGTCTGGGCTGTGGAGCAGTGGCTGTATGAGCTGTCTGTGGAGCAGTGACTGGTATGTATGGCTTGTATGGAGCAGTGGCTTGGTATGTCTGGCTGTGGAGCAGTGACTTGATGTCTGCTGTCGTATGTCTGGCTGTCTGTGGAGCAGTGTATGTCTTGTATGTCTGGCTTGGTGTCTGTCTGTGGAGCAGTGGCTTGTATGTCTGGCTGTCTGTGGAGCAGTGGCTTGTATGTCTGGCTGTCTGTGGAGCAGTGACTTGTATGTCTGGCTGTCTGTGGAGCAGTGGCTTGTATGTCTGGCTGTCTGTGGAGCAGTGACTTGTGTGTCTGGCTGGGAGCAGTGACTTGTATGTCTGGCTGTCTGTGGAGCAGTGACTTGTATGTTGGCTGTCTGTGGAGCAGTGGCTTGTAGTGTCTGGTCTGGGCAGTGAGTGGTTTGTCTGGATGTCTGTGGAGCAGTGGCTGTATGTTGGCTGACTGTGGAGCAGTGACTTGTATGTCTGCTGTCTGGGAGCAGTCTGTATGGAGCTGTGGAGCAGTGACTTGTATGTCTGGCTGTCTGTGGAGCAGTGGACTTGTGTGTCTGGCTGGGAGAGCATGTCTGGTGACTTGTATGTCTGGCTGTCGGAGCAGTGTGTAGCAGTGGCTGTGTATGTCTGGACTTGTATTGTCTGCTGTGGAGCAGGACGTGTATTGTCTGGCTGGTGGAGCAGTGACTTGGCTGTCTGTGGAGCAGTGGCTGTATGTCTGGCTGTCTGTGGAGCAGTGGCTTGTATGTCTGGCTGTCTGTGGGAGCAGTTTTTGGAGAAAACATCAAGTAACGGCAGTAAACAGAAGTGAACAGAACTTTTTTCCAAAGGGGGTAGAATAAAAAAAATTAGAGGAATTCTAGAATAGATGCATTTTAAAATAAGAGCANTAGCCCAGTGTCGTGGTTTTGTCGCCTCCCTGATACCAGGTTGTAGCCCAGTGTGGTGGTTTTGTCGCCTCCCTGATACCAGGTTGTAGCCCAGTGTCGTGGTTTTCTGTGTTTGTCTTGCGCTTCCCGTGTTGCTTGGGTGATGGATTGA